AATAATTTAGAATAGAGAACAGATGAGGCACAAACGAAGCTCGAATAAGAGTTGAAACAGCTTTGTTGATCCTTTAGACCTACATGTGTTATATTTGGCAATAACACATATAGGTCCAATATGTTCATTTCATTTTAGCGGTAGGTCTTGCTGACGAGTTGGAGCTCTCCCGTGGAAATAGAAAATAACATACCTGGTGTTTGGCTGCTATTTTCCTCAAGGACTAACTCCTTGTGAAGCTTTGCATTACTGTCAGAGTGGGTTTGCCGTGGAGCGATCTACATTTAGATCTCCATGAAGTTGTGCAGCGTTTCACAGGGAATTAACCTTGAAGGGGATGGCATCCAAATTTAAATCAGGTAAGATTTCATTTTTTATGGGCTTAGGCGTGTTATATTTTGATAGCAACTTGTATAACTTTATAAAGTTACAGATATTCTTGTAGTATTTACAGCAAAGACGCTGTATGATACATTCAGTTTTTACAGAACATATGGGATTTATTGCCATTCATTAATTTTCTTAACCACTTATCCGATTTTGGGATTGAAGCCTGCTCCTGTCACAGGGCAAGAGGCAGGGTACAACCTGGACAGGTCACCAGTCTATCAAAAAAAGTTGGATAATCATTCACATCTATGGCATTTTTAGAATTTAAAATCATCAATTTGGACTGTGGGTGGAGTACCCAGACAGAACCATACACGCAAACTCCACACAGAAGAGCCCCACCTGACAGGTGGAATCAAACTGTGATCATTCTTCTTCTTCTTTAAAAAAATACCCATAGTGAAAAATGTCATTTACATTTAGAAGTGCATGCAACAAGTATGCATCATATTAAACAAAATTAAACGACAACTCTAGCCGTATGTGTTATTTTTCTTCATCTGCATTAATCCATGAAACTGAATAGAACCGCTTCACCAAGAATCCATTGTAGTCTGATTGAAATGAAACTGAAAGATCCTTTAATCCTTTTCAACCATATCACTGATTTGTACTAACCCCACTTTATCCAGGCACCCCTAATCCACAGCATTAAATTCCTCTCGCTTTGCATTTAAATATCACACTGTCATCAACTTGTAATCTGATATGAAATTGTCTACCAAAGGGAACAGGAGATTTGGGAACGGACAAGGATATAGCACACTTTGCGTCACATCTATTTCATTCCTTTTCTTCATGTGCATTCTGCTTGTTTTTGGTATTCCTGGGTCATTTTGGTCCTGACCCAAACAAATAATTTGAAAGCTAAAAGCACAGACAAGCTCATGGCTTATCAAAGAGTCTTATAAACAAGATCAAATGCCAGCTTGTGTCTAGCCTCCTCAGTGTTTCTCAGTTGCAATAACAATCCATTATTCATTTTCAAACCTAACAAGAAATTTCTTGATCCTAATCCCTGCGTGCAGCTTAAAATTTAAATTACTATTGAATTTTTGTCCATTTCTCTTATGATAAACCTCAGAGAGGGGGGAAAACAATTGGGATTCATAACAAGTTGAGTGTGGCATTAGAGTCGTCCTTCCAAACACTTCCCAAGGTTCCTTTCTTTTTCTGAGCAACTTTATTTGAATTCCCCCACAAGACTTAGAAATGAAAGTGAGCATCTCCTAGCTGTCTGCTCCCATTTATCGCTGTACCCCAACTGTTCAGAGATCTCTTAAATGTTCAGTCAGTCTCTTGTAGCTTGAAGGTCACATGAGTTCATTTGGAGTTCAGAAATCTGTGGCATCCTATTCAGAACTACAGAGCAACACTGTGAAAGCTACTGCATTTACTGTTCGGCATTCTTTTTTTTCTGCATAATTATTTCTTTATTTCAAATTTTCTAGTGGAATAAGAGCCTTATAGTGAATTACACAGCTCTTAAATGTAAAAGGTAAAAAAAAAAAGTTTTTAAAATGCTGTTTTTTGGAAGTTGGACACAAACAAAAACAGTTAACATTTGAACTGATTTTAAGCATCCCTGATGGTCTCATTAACTGGACCCCAGACTGCAGGGAGACGAGCGCGACTCCCTATTTTTCATACCATACAATTCATCAGTCTCAAGGGTTTTGCCCTATAAAATATTATCCTCAGACAAAAACCCCGTTTCCCAGAAGGCTTGTGTTACTGACACGTCCAGATTCTGAAAAGCCTCTTGTTAACAACAGCTGTAAAGTGAGCTTGTTCAATTCTTTCAAGTTGAATCTCTCCCTCTTTCTGTTGCTTTCATTTCTCTCTCTTAGTGTCCCATTTCTCTTGTACTTGTGGGACGATCTTGAATTAATTAAAAGAAAATACTTTGAAGTTAGATACTTGGCCTCGGGGCATTCTGTTTCATTTTTGTTGTGGTGGGAGTTGCGCTGTTGTTCTGTTGTTACGTTGTAACGACCCAGAGATTCTGCTACTGGTCAGTGTCATGTTATTAGGCAAAAGATGCAGTTCAGCATAAAATTGTCTCTTAAAAAAGTAAACACATCTCTAGAACATGTGCCTGGTATGTCCAATTTTATAACGCTTGGTCTCTTCTTTTATTGTCTCAGGTTCTTCTTATGATTGCATTATGCTGTAATAACTTAAAGACCACAGTAACTGTTAGTATAGTAAATCTTTGCGCTGTCTTTAGATTAAGTCTTACAATTTCAGAAATTGCTATTTACAGATGTGTCGTGGTTCTGCTGTGATTGACAGACAACACACAGTGTTTGGATTGTCATCTTGTACCATGGACTGTGTTTCTGTGCAACTTCAGTGCTTAGTGGTAATGTGACAATGAATGATGATGACTAGTTTTAGCTTTAAGAGCAGTCAAAGTTGAGTGAGCGAGTTCAGTAAACCCTTCATCATACTCAACTGTCTTGTAAGAAAAAGGCATCATTCTATATCCACGGCCCCTCTCCCGCAGCTGTCTAGCTACTCTAGTACAAATAGAGAGCCCTCCCAAGAGAAATGGATCATCTGTACAGGAATGAGACCCGGGAGCCCCTCAACATAGTGATGTCATATGAGGGGGTGTTGATCTAACCTGAGATGATGGGCTGTCAGCAGCAGCTGCTGTTGCAGCGGGGCCGGGACGGACAGAATAAATACTGAAGAAGTAAGAAACAAAGCAACGGATGAGACAGGAAGTCAGATTAGCGGGAGAGGATACTTATTGTGATGTAAAATGAAAAGAAAGCTACTGAATACTAATGAAAGTCATACTAATGGAAAACAGAAAAACAGAACAGACTGAATGATGACCGAATTAGAAGCCTGGTCGCTAGCCTACCAAGCTCCCCCTCTCAGCATGAGACTCGTCCCTATTTTCCTCCTGTCAGCCCCTCCTATCTCTGTTACACTCTCTCTATTCACTGCCGTGACATGCTATGTCTAAAGCTGAGTCTGTGAATGAATGATATTACCTCATGCAAATAACACCATCTACCCTGCAGGCCCATCACATGCTTCAAGCAACTAAAAAGCAGTAACTCATCTCTCTCGCATTGGCTTTGATTTCTTCTTGTTCCACTCTAATAACCCTCCGCTCTATTTTCTCTACCTCTCTGTCTCTGCAATGGCCCCCTTTTTTTATATATGTAAATATATGCAATAGGTTTTACGCTTAATAGATTTCAATATAGCAAAATAATCAAAGTGGCTACTGCTGTCTATAGATCTTTCTCAGGCTGGTAATAACACAAGTTATGGCTTGCTATTTAATATTTACACCCAGTCCCTGGCATATCAGTGTGGCTTTTCCATAGTAACCGAAGCAATCTGTCCAGATATTGCTGGTGCAGCAGAAATAGGCAGAGTAATTTTTTTGGCCCCAGCTGTTCACATTTGGGGACAGGAGACCGTGGCTTGTCTTCTGATTGAGGTTTTTGTTTTTCAAGCTATTTTCTTTATTTTCACTCTCATGTTACTTTCATTTTCCTCACTGATTAGGTTTATTGAAAAGAAGTACCTGCTTAACTTTAAGAAAATATGGTTTAGATTTTTTTTTTTTTTAAATGTTGCTTCTTAAAAAAATATATGTTGCAGTCATATGTGCTGAGTTGGAAGTGAGACCTGTTTATTTCATGACTCTGATGATGTACATTTCAGACAGAAAGATGCAAACTGACATGATATTAAATAACTTAAATGATAAAGACAATATAAACATAAAATGTCATCATTGATTGGGCTGCTGTTTAACTCTAACACATATGCATGTTCTGACCCATTCCACCCTTTTATGCTTCTATTTCTACATGTTTTGTGTTACGTTTTTCTCTGCTCCAGCTCAAGCGGGTTTGGTTATCTTTGATGTCCCTTGAGTGTTTTAATAATTTGTTAAATGTGTGTTGTTGATGGTTACTCTGCCTCCCTCTATCACTCTCTCTCTCTCTCTCTCTCTCTCTCTGTCAACTTGCCTCCCTATAAGGCGTGGGCTACAAGTAAGGCAGAGCCACATCGCCATACTGACCACAGTATAATGCTTAGTGTTTAGTGTCTCATATTCACCCTACAAAGTATAAACTAACATCATCTGTATACATGGAGACATACATATGTCTCTGACCATATGCAGGCCTAACACATGTAAAATACAGAAAACACACGTACGTATGTAGAGAACAAAGGAGTTTCTTTCGACTGCTGTCGCATGGGGGGGGGGGCAGCTGTATTCTAATGTATTAATCATCTTGTCTCCAGCTTGCTAATTAATGACCCATCTGTCCCCACTCACTGATGTTCCACTTCAAACTCCCCAATAAACAAACACACACACAGAGGCGCTGCGGCACAACAACCAAATTCTCGTTCCAGTGATGCAACTCCAACACCACTGCTGTGCACACTGTACGCTGCACTGTCTCATCTGCATTCAACAAAACCTCCAAAGTGTTTATGGCAGCTTCATGAGAAAGGAGTCCTCCTCATCGGTTGCTGTGCGTTTAGCTGGCAGACGTGTGATCAGGCTTATCTGTGTGTGTGTCTATGTGTGCACTTATGTAGGTGTATGTGTGTGTTCATAGGCTTATCAGGTGAGCCCGGGCAGAGTGTCAGATGCAGTAATGGAGGCTTCAAAGACAAGCGCTGCGGTGAGTTCCCTGGCTGCCTTTTAACAACCCCCCCCCACCCTTCCACCCCTCCCTCTCCCATCCTCGACTATTCCTGGGACGCAGAGGGACAGAAAGGCACATAAGTAGATAGCTGGATGGATAAGGAAGGGAGGCAAGAAGTGAGATAAGCAGGCAGGTGAATAATTAAGTGGGTGCAAAGTCAAACAGACAACAGGTAGGCGTACATCAGGCTGAGTGGCAGGTAGGAGAGATATTGGAGAGCACAGTTGCCTGACAGTAAGACAGACGCACGGAGGAGCAGACAGACAGTAAGACATTCAGACGCGGCTAGGTGCTTGTACAGGCCACCTCCCCTTCACTTGCATGAGTAGAGATACTTCAAACACTCGCCGCTTGTCTTCTGCTTTGTTCTGTTGTTCTCATCGCAGCTGCTAATGTTGTTTTGATGCTCGTCACCACCATCGCTGATCTGTTTCCTTTGAATGGGAGTTCTATTCCTGACTTCCCATTTGCTTGTTTCCATTTTGGTCTTTTATCCTGCATATGTGTTTGAGTGAACATGTTTGTGCGTGCGTGTCTTTTGTTTTACATCTGAAAAGCAGTCACAGTTAAGGGATAGTAACTGAGAGTTTGATCATTAAAAGTTGCCATTTGAGGTTGATTGGTTTCATTTTTTTCAGGGATCACATAGTTATTTTCTTGCTTTAAAGTGAGATGAAGTTAAATCGTGAGATCAAAGAGTTTTGTAGTAAATAAAACTGCTGTAAGCACTTGTGGCTGCATAAAAGCAAAAATACAGGAAGACGTATGAAAGAGTTAACCTACAAACACAGAACCTACTTTGGCTGCTTCTTATTCAACGATATTCAATTAGAAACCGAATATTTACTGTAACATTTGCAGCAATTCAGCTATTAAAGTCATTTTAATTATCGTGTGTAAAATCTGCAGATTATTTTTAACCTTTTCAAAACTGATGACCTTTTTGATTATTTCTTATTTCGCACCGCATGTAACATTGTTCAACATGGTTCAGACTTCAGTGCATGGCTACTGTGATGGACACTCTCCCTTCTGCAACTATTTTTTTTTTTATTGTACTTCACGGGCCTTAATAGATATCTGGATTAATTTTTTAAAGTCGTTTACAGTTTATTGAAGAAATATTTTTGCATGAATGTCTTATGTTATAAAGAAAGTCTTGGGGGATGTGGAGATAAAAATAAAAAAAAGGAGTCAAATAGTGTTGTAGAAATTTCTTGTGATGTCACAGAATGTATATTTTGTATGTGTATGTGCAGACCTATGGGTTTCATTGCGACTTCAGAAGACATAAATATGAACTCATGAACCAGCACTGATGTCACAGACTTCACCAGAGATGTTACCAAAATAATTATCTACAGATATGACTCCCCTTGCAGATTCATGTAGTTCAAAACTTTTGATGTTTTTTTAAATTTATTTTATGTTTGGCTTTTGTTTTTGTTTTTTTAAATCAGGAAGTATCCAGCATAAAACTACTAAATCGAACATAAGGAGCTACCCACTCTCGTAAACAGATGTTAAGAAATTTTCTAATCACTCTGTTCCTCTGTAGTGTCTTAAGCTTAATGGTTTAGCTAAACAATAACCTTACAATAAGAGTATTTATTTATTTATAAGCAAAACTGCACACATTGAAGGTAATACTTCTACTTGTAAATACTAATCATGCCAATCCTCCTGCTCCCTCCAAACAGCAAACTCTGGAGAACAACCTAACCAACTTGGTGAAGAGGAACAGTGAGCTGGAGAACCAAATGGCCAAGCTCATTCAAATCTGTCAACAGGTTGAGGTATGTAACATATCTTTATGTCTTTTAATTTTTGAATAAAATTCAAATGGTCTCCCTTAATTGTAACTCAGGAAAATATGACTTCCATATGGAAAGTAGTTTTGTTTGTCGCCAGGTATCATAGCACAGTCAGAGGTTAGTGTCAGCAACAAGATAACAGCCTCGGAGCTGCTAAAGATTCTTAATGAGGGGAGTTCTGCTGGGTGGAAATAAGCATTTCCAAGTCAGCGCCACACCGCGCACCACTGAAGCTATTTATATTTTAGTCTAAGCCTCTTTTTATTTCATTATATTTCTGCCTCCTGCTGGATCATAACCGTGACTTTGCCAGCATTAAAATACGAATTCAATTCTTTCAATTCCTTCACCAGCTACTGATCAAATATTGATTAATCCCAACACTGTAAGTGAATGCCAGGCTCTTACAGTGTTGTCATAAAAAGGTCTGCATCGTTTTTAAAGAGTTGGAGGAAAGTATACAGCAGCAAATTAATAACAAATGTGTCACAGTGATCTTGTTATGTCATTTGGCCATCAATATGATAAGTGATTAGGCACAGCACTTTGAAAATGGAAATAATAGATACCAGTTTCAGTTTCAGAGGGACTGAAGAACACTCGAGAACAAAAGAGTAGCTATCAGCAACCATCCACTTTCAGACCTTTAAAAGGGTTAGTTATGTCATTCACACAACTTCAAACGCTGATTGAGATGACCACTTGAGCAAAGCCAAAACTAAAAGGTGCAACCACTTTAATGTAAAGCTTTAACTGTATCATAAATTCTGATTGTGTGCCTCTTTAATGTCTCAGCTTTGGCTTCCAATACTGCTTAGGTTCTTCCTTGAACTCTTGGCTTCCAATTAATCTCACTGCGATGAATTAGATTTTTAGGATGGATGAATTACTGTTGCATTACTCAACGGTTTAATTCTTACTGGCACCACCCACACAAGAAATTTATGCTTGCCAGCAAATCAGATGAGATTATCTGTCAAATGGCATATAACTCCAAAGTGGAAGCTTTATCTGACTTGTCACAAGGTGGTAATGTGTCACAGATCCCCCGGTACGATTAAACGGCAACCTTCGAAGAGTGTTTGCGCTCCGGTGTCCTGGTGTGAACCGGAACCTGTGTGCACAAAATTATACCTGAGTCAGTCTTGTCACTGTTGACCTCTTCCATTTGGGCCTTTGCTATGATTTAATGGAGGTACTGTTCAAAGCCAGTCAGAGAGTTCTAATGCTTGGCCACAGAGTGTTTTCTCAGCTGAGCATTACTAACACATTCGCACACATACACACAGGTTCATGCTTTCAGTCTGTGCACACTCACTCTTAATAAACACCATCATTTTCTGTGAGATTTGACATTAATGGCTGCAGAGGACAAATGCATTTTAGTGCCGCCATCACTCTCTGCGTAGTTCATTTCTTACCAGCCGGGCATGACTCCATTTTCTCAGAGTCACTCTGAGGTCCATGAACAGCAACTCATGCAGCCGCTCATCCAATCAAAATTAAATGATTGCTGGGTGATTCATTAAGTACAGACAAACTGTTCGTCAACAGTGCATGGCATGAGAAAAAAAAACTGTCTCTGTTTCGTCTTTGTCTGCATACCAATGTTGAGCCACCGCCACGACAGCAGCACATCTCATCAGTTATTCATCAAAAAGTAATGAGGAGAGATTGCATGGGGGAGAACATGCTTCACCAACTCTCAAGCAAAGCAAATTATTGGAATAAACTATACGTTTTCAACTCATTTGGAGCTATTCTGGCTTTATGATGTCAGTGTCAAAGGGCTACAGTTGTTTATTTATGAGAGGCGTAAGGAAGAGAGACTGGATTGTTTTCAGGTGAGCACACATTAAGGTGCAGAGGCGTTTTATGAGTGCCAGGAAGAGAGGCGAGGGCAAGCGAGGAGAAGAAGCTGGAGAACGGCGGAAAGGCTGAAAAGTAGAGGCTGTAGAGGTGAGGGAAAGGAAAAAGAAAACGAAAAGGCAAGAGGTTAACAGGGCAACGGGAACAGAGAATGGGATAAAAAGACGTACAGTAAGTGTTAGTGTGACTAGCAGTGATCCTTTTTTTTATTCTGCAAAAAGAGATGCAGGCAGTGTGTAGAAGAACACGCTCAGCAATAATGCAATACAGCACAAAAAGGGAATAAAAAAGTGAGAGTTTTAGTGAAGGGAGAGGAGTGTGTACAAAATAAGAAATCTCTGAAGGGCTTAAGCATGACCTGGATTTCTCTCCTCCTTGTTTGCATCATACTGTATTGGTGCCGAAGAAATGATCAAACACAGTGTGAATCAGCTTCCAGTGTGTCAGCACACACTGCAGCGATACATCCCTGTCCTCCAGGGGTTCTCTCCGGGGGAGTTATCTTTTTCTTCAGTCTTAGATGCACTGACTTGATGATGTGTAGGATGCTTCTTTCTTCACCACTAGGCTTGGTGTGGGATTTTTGTGCCTAATGGTATTCGGTTCGGAGCTTTTTAAAAGCATTGATTTGATTCTTAAGCATTTGTAGTGATTTTTGTTTAGTTAACACTCATCACTCATTTTCACTCATGCTTTGATATTAATAGTCAGCAGAGTAAGGGGGACTCATTGAGGCTCTTGGGTGAAGAGCATTTCCCTAAAAACCACTTTGATGTTGAATAGACGCTGATACAGTGACAGATGTAACTGAATTCAGACCCAGACTGAAAGCTGGGTCTGAATAAGACTAATATGCTATCTGTTACCTGCACGTTATTTTTCTCATTCACGAACTATGTTTTAAGCTATAAGCCGTTTAATATTAAGCCAGCTCACTTCTTTTCTTTTCTTTTTTTAGAGTAATAGTAAAAGCTTTTTACCCTCTTCAAAAACACATCTCAAGAGATGCTCGTATTCTTTTGTTGCCATTTCATTTTCAGCACATTTCTATTTAATTCCCAAAGAGCCTCCCCTTTCATACTTTAACAATACTTCCTTAAAGTGCCCTTGAAACTTTCTGTGTAGTGAAGTTCTTGCATTTAATATCTCCCTCTTCTTAATTCATCTTGTAACTTGACAGCTGATCAGCTTTTCTGTCATTCTGTCCCACTTTATCTTGCTCTCTATATGGTAGTTGTCCTCGTCGAGGTCATGGTTCAGCTATGCCTCGTGAGACTGTGTGGTTACAAGGTGCTTGCACTGGCAGCTGTATAAAGAGGAAAACTTTAGAGCCAGAAAGCCCAGACACAGCTAAATGTGGAGTAAGCATTGTTTCTAGGAAGCAGTAAAAACCAGCAGCTGGTGTTTCCAACCGCTAGGATCGTGTTAAACTCGTGTGTGTATCAGAACTGATGGAAAAAATAATCACATCAGACAGAAGCCTGGTGGGTTTAAATGTTCACACGTGTATATCTACTGATTAAACAGCGAACAGTAAGTCCTTAGCTGAGACCTGTCTAGGTGTGTTTACACTGAAGCTGATCACACTCTGTGCAGAATATGAATCAGTTGTATGGAGATGTCTCTAATGCTGCGTAATCCTTTGCATTAGGGCTCATCTCTCTTTATCTCTCCACAATAGCACCAGAGAGATCGAACCATCTTCTGGCATCATTTCTAAAGCTATATTTCTAAAGCCGTTTGCAGTTCCACTTTTAAGGATGGGAGCATCAATACAATGCGCTAATGGTATATAGATAAACAACATTTCTTCTTTATTGCAAGCTCTACAGTATGTTTGTGCTTTTAACAGATGCCCATACTGTGCATTCAAAGTCGATGTATATCATTCAGCATTCATCCATCCTGGGTGGGTGATATTGTGTGTAAAGACAGGTGGGTTGCTTTCGACTCGGATTTTATTCCAAACAGACATAACTCTAACTTTAAAGCATGGATATCCTATGGCCTTACGACATTCCTCTCTCTTACTCATAGAAATATTGTGCTCAGATTTGAGGCCTTACAGGACAATCACAACCTGACAAAATACGACTTTCATAGATACTTACAGCTGAGATCATATATTGATCATGAATGCAAACTGTCCGACTTCAATGATGCTTAGTCGCATTTTTTCCTGATCCTGAAAAATGCCACAACCATGACCCCTACTAAATCTATTTCTAAACTATACAAAGCTCTGTCTAGTGCCAGCAAGGATAATACTTTATACACTAAGGATAAATGGGAAAGGGAATCAGGGATTGCTATTTCTGTAGGGGAGTGGGAAAATGTTTGGTACTGCCAGTGGTCCACGTCCAGTTCTATGAGCTGGAAGGAACATGGCTGGAAGAATATTATTAGGTACTTCAAGACTCCATATCAGGAGAGATACAAAGGGGCTTATATGCAATGCTGGAGACAATGCGGCTCGACTGTTGCTAACCATTTTCATGTCTTTTGGGACTGTCCCGAGTTAAAAAACTTTTGGATAGGTGTTCAGGTCTCTTTAAGTGCAGTCTTTAACGTTCAAATACCTTTAGATTTTAAGGTTTTATAAATGGGTTTGGTCCCCTTTCTGGAACGTAGGAGTGAGATTAAGTTGGCGCAATTATATGAGGTGCCGTAAGGGACATTATTACTTAAACGCTCTCACACACACAACTGAAACGCTCTCACACACACTACTGAAACGCTCTCACACACACTACTGAAATTTTAGCTCTCACACACACAACTGAAACGCTCTCACACACACTACTGAAACGCTCTCACACACACTACTGAAATGCTCTCACACACACTATTGAAACGCTCTCACACACACAACTGAAACGCTCTCACACACACTACTGAAACGCTCTCACACACACTACTGAAATGCTCTCACACACACTACTTAAACGCTCTCACACACACTACTGAAACGCTCTCACACACACTACTGAAATTTTAGCTCTCACACACACAACTGAAATGCTCTCACACACACTACTGAAACGCTCTCACACACACTACTGAAACGCTCTCACACACACTACTGAAACGCTCTCACACACACAACTGAAACG